AGACCCACTCAAACCCACCAAGGAGCTCACAGTCTAGGGGAGATGACGATCAGGAAAACAAACCACAGAAGAAGAACAGCATGTCATTCATTATTCAGATGATTAAAAATGGATCATTATAGTTTTATGTTGGCAAACAGAAAGATAGCCACTAGTTGAGAGACAGAAATCCTTCTGGGGTGTAGGTTTTTTTCCGAGACTCTGATTTAAAACATAGAGCTCTGCTTCACAAGGGTGAAAAGAAAATGCTAAATAACTGTGGCATTGGTGTATGTTTGGAAAGTCAGTATTTTGGATCCCAGCAACAATGGTGGGGACCACCCAGGCTAGCACCTGGAGGGTGCTCTGAGCCCCAGCCCATACGGACTCGCCTTGGTTGGTGTTCATACGCTCACCAAGGTGAGTACACAAGGATGCAATTATACGTACGTTGTAATCAGAGTAACACTACACATGACATATTGGATCATGTCACTCCTCTGCTTTAAAAAGCATCCATGGCTCCCTGTGTCTTACAGGATAAAGTTCAAATTCCTCAACTAAGTCTAAAACATGGCACGGGATGCTTATCCGTGCCGTCACCCTCTGGTCACATCCCCAGCCACCTGAGCTCCAGCGACCACAGCCTTCTTCCCTCTTCCCCAGCACCTCTGGCCTTGCGGCCCTTGCCCAGGCCACTTGCCTGGAATGCTTTCCCTTTTCTCCTCCTCCCCTACGCACCTGCCTCCTCCTCTTCTTTTCTTTTTTGTTGAGTTTATTGGGGGCGGCACTGGTAAATAAAATTACATAGGTTTCAGGTGTACAATTCTGTAATATTGGGTTGGCCAAAGAGTCCGTTTAGTTTTTTCCATAAAAGGCACACTTTTCATTTTCACCAATAACTTTATTGATCTGGATATTTTGAGTGTGTCAGCTATCTCCTGCGTGGTAGAATGTTGATTGTTCTCAATGTCTCAATTGGATCACTATCAACTTGAACTGGTCTACCAGACTGTGGAGCATCATCCAGAGAGAAATCTCCAGCACAAAACTTCACAAACCACTTTTGACACATTTGATCCGTCACAGCACCTTCTCTGTACACTGCACAAATCTTTTTCTTTTTTCATTTTAGTTGCATTTTTACCTTTCTTGAAATAATAAAAGCATGATATGCTGAAAGTGCGTATTTTCTTCCATCTTCGATAGTAAAATGGCTACACAAAAATTCACCAATTTTGGTAAGTTTTTTTAAATGCACGCTGATATGACAGCTGTCACAATACAATCTTTTTTTTTTTTTTTTTTTTTTTTGTCACAATACAATCTAACAAAATTGTTTCAAGGAAAGTCAGAGACATCTAAGCGCTACTAGAGCATCTTATGGAAAAAACCAAACAAACTTTTTGGCCAGTCGAATACATCGTCTGCCTATTGTATTGCGTGTTTACCACCCCAAGTCGGTCTCTTTCTATCGCCCTTTACCCCCGCTTTACCCTCTTCTACCTCCCCCACTTTCCTTCCCTCCAGTAATCATCGTGCTGTTGCCTGCATATAACAGTGTTCATTTTGTTTTTTGCTTTTTTTTTTTTTTTGCTTTACGCCTTAATAAATAAAAAGGCCATGCACCTTTTTGAGCCTCTCTCTGTCCCCTTTCCCCCTTGTCTCCCGCTGCCCTTCAGTTCCCGGCAGCCGGTCTTTCCTTCCAGGAGTCCTTCCCTGATTTCCCAGATCCCCTGCTCTAGCAGCTCTCCATTTTTCCTTGATATTGTTATCCACAGTAAATACGACATTTTTGTGTGATTGCTTAATGAATGTTCATCTTCCTAACTCAGATAATTCTATAAACCTCCTACTCACACTGCATTTCACCCTAAGTCATTTATGTTAATCATACATCAATGGTGTTTTCCCAGAATATCAGCACTGGAGAACATACCTTTAAATGTTTAATATTTAACTAATAATACATGACATTTTGCAACTTAGAAAATACTATCACATACCTTTAGCCATTTAACTCTCACAAGAACCCCCCTCAGTTAAACCACTTACTCAAAATCATTCCGTGACAGTGTTTTTGAGCTAGTGGCTTGCAGTCCGTGATACAAGGGCAATGTTTTTATTAGACACTGAGGTACCACTAATGCCTCTTACAGTACCCGAAACCATAGCATCAATAAATAACTGCTGAATAAATTACTGGTAGGGACTTGTAGTTTCTCTGTCTTATCTGTGCTTCTTATGACATTCCATAATATATACACATATACGTCATGCCCACATATGTGTGTTTGGGGTGTGCTTACGTAGGATTTATGGTATATGTAGCGGAATACATTATACCAAGTTTATCCATACAACAGAAATATATATATTATGACCATTTTTGAGTAGGGATACTAGAAATATTTGGACCCAACTGATTTTTACTATAATTATCATCTTTGTCAACTTGGATAGAGTTAATCTGGACTTAGGAAATCAGATAAAAAAGATAAGTAACATGATCAATCAAAGTTTCTGACATTTTGGGATAAAATCACCTTCCAAAGAGTGTCTAAAAAAACAATTGCTTAATGTTAGACTACAGGAGGGCAATAAAAACATGAGGAATCTTAATTTTCATTGTTTCTAAATTTGTGGTCTGAATAACTTCAGAAATGAAGGATGACTCAGAAGCCTCCCTTCTGACTACGGTAATAATAATAATAATAATTAATAATAATTTGTGCAATGTAAACCATTTGGCTGAGATGCATTTAGGTTACTTGTACCCTATGAAATGAGCCGTCTCTCCAAAGCCTACAAAAAAATTAATGTGGAACACCTGATATTTGACTGTGCCTCCAGATGGAGGGACAGCTTGAAAAATGCCATCATAATTTACAACTTTTAGAAGTGCGGTGCGAATGCATTTGCAGTAAGCCTTAAACAGCTTGGATCATTTACAGGTACAACTGTGCTTAATGTGGAACTTCAGTGGATTTAAAATATTATTCGATTCAATCACTGATCACACAGTATAGGTGTGACGTGTGAACAATGTGATTAGATGCCTTAATTAAATATCTCACTCACAACAGGATACATCTGTTTGGTGAAGGGGGGATGGTAAAATAGTATTTGAATTTTATATTTGATTATTGAGAGTCACTGAGAAAGCTCATACCTTTGCAAAGGCAGCATACTTTGGGCTTACCCTCTATGAATTTAGAAGAAGAATGAATAATCACAGACACCATGTATGGACATGCAACGTCTGACTTTTGGGTAACTTGGACACTTGTGCCCATAAAACAAATAAGACGACTAAAGTGTGGATTGCTAAGTGATCGTATCTGTGTTAGAGTACAACCCAGAGGAGCACATGAGTAGGTATCTCTGGAGGCTAGGAAATTAACATTGACATTGAAGTATTCTGGTTAAATTGGAGGTCACATACATAATAAAATGATATATGTCATATTGCATATGTATATATGCATATAGGTGTATATCATTTTACATACAGACACACATATATACACATATATATAATTTCCAAGAGGATATAGATGACTTCGGAGGCAATGTCTGTTTAACTAGAAAGTCACTGATAGATTTTTGTGATTTACTTGATGTACATGGTAAAGAGAAACAGAAGTTTCTGAAATGTACAGCCTGGTGCATACAGCGACTTCAGGATCTGCTGTGTTCATCCAACCACCGAGTATTGTTGGTCCCTCACGTTTCAGTCCTGGACTAGGAGCTGAATAGCCAACAGACATCCAAACCAGACATGGGCTCTCTCTCTTCCTGCAGCTTCCATTCTAACTGGGAGAAGAATATCAAACCAGTCTCCCTCCACCAAATATGTAAATCAAATCTGGCAGGGCTGTGCATTCCAAACAGGGTGTTGTGAAAAAGAATAACGAGGACGGGCGGGCCCTTGCGGTGGGGCGACGGGTCAGGGGCAGGCTTCCCCGAGAGCTGGAGGATGAGGTGACTTCAAGAGTCCTCCACGTGGAGCGCAAACCCAGCGAGAAAAGCGGCTGGAAGCCAGGAAGACTGATGAGTCTGTGGTTGAACACCCCCAGTCAGGGCAGGAGTGGCCTTGGTGAGGGAGGGGGAGGGGGCGGCAGGTTACTCAGAGGTCACGATGCCCTGGTCCAAGTCGGGGAGAGAAGAGAGAACAGAGGTATGGAGTGTAGGCGTCCTCAAAGAGCAGGTGAATGTGTTCTGGGCTGGGTCCATCTCTAAAGGAAACTGCTCTCCTACCGGAGCGAGCTCTCGCACTCAACATCAAGACCAACTCTTCAAAAAGGCTTAACATTATTGATTTTTTTTTTTTTTTTTTTTTAAATCTTGACTTCGCGGCCCCTGCAGCACTGCCACCTGGCCATCTGGCCGTGCTAATTGCTGCTTGCTTGACCGGCTCCCCGGCCTGCCTCGCGCAGGGCTAGTCCCCAGGCGTGGTCCTCTCCCAGCAGACCCGCCCTGATCTTCTCCACGCCCTCCAGGGCCCTGGACGGGTACAGAAACCTTTACGACCTCGTCCCTGAAGGACTCCCGCGATGCAATGTTGGTGCCCCTCGCGGGGTTCGTGCGGAAAGGAGGAAAAGGAGCACTTTGTCACTTCGAGCGCCCACTGTTTTTACCTTTCATCCTGTGAGTCTGTCACATCTGGTCCCGCCTACCTAGCTCAGCCCCTTAACTGCGTCCTGAGCGAAGGCCACTCCCGAGCGAGCGCTCGCTCCCGCCCTTCCTTCCGCCTGCGGAAGAAAAACAAGCGGCCAGGCCAGGGGCGGGGGGCGGGGGGCGGGGGCAGGGCCGAGTAACCCAGCTCTCCGCGCCAAGCCCGCGCCAGAGCCTCTGTGCCGCGCGCGAAGCCCCGCCCCGGGGCGTCGCCCTTTTATCGCTCCGCCCCCGGGCGTATCCCCTCGCTAGCCCCACCCAGGGGCGTGCCCCCGAGTTCGCCCGCTCGGGGGCGTGTCCTCCGCCCCCCACCCCGCCCCCGCCCGTGGGCGTCACGGCCGCCCCGCCCCCGCGCCGCGGGTCCTGGGTTTTCCTCATTCCACTCGCGCTCCCGCCAGCTAACAAGTCGGAGGGCGGCTGACTCACCGAGGGTTGTCTCCAAGGGACCGGCCCGCAGGCACTGCCATGGCCCCTGTGCTCAGCAAGGACGCGCCGGACATCGAGGTACGGCTGGCTGCGCGCCGGTCCCCGGGGGGCGGGGAGTCCCTGTTGGCGGGGGCCCGTGAGGCCCGCGCCCACCGCCCGCGCCCGCGAGGAGCGAGCGACGCGGGAGCCTGGCCTCCGCGGGGGCCCGCGCGGGGCCCGAGGAGCCCCGTGAGTGCAGAAGGGGGTGCCCTTGCGGTGGGACGGCGCTGTTTACTGCAGGCGGCGGGGCGCGGGTCAGGAAAGCGGCCGTGACCCGAGTGGCGTGACCGCAGGGGCACGGAGTTGCAGGAAGGTGGCTCCTGCGGGACGGCAGCGGCCGTTTTCCACCGTCGGCCCGCTCCCTGCCTTCGCGCCTACCTGCGCGCGGGACACCTGTCTGCAGCCCCCACCTGCGGAGCCTGAATTCTGAGTAGCCGCCGGGGTGCGGCGCGGAAATAAAGGACAGCTGTGTATTCAGCGATTCCTGCCGCTCCGCTAGCCGGAGGGCTGCTTACGAAACAGTTAAGCTCGCAGAAGACGGAAGCAAAGTATTGGGAACAAGAAAAATGCCAAGAATTTGTGGGTTTTCCCCCTTTCAACAGTTTTCAATTTCCTCTGGCCTTTTGTTCTGTAAAAGTGCCAGCTTTCTTTCTGTGCTTATTATAAAGTCCTCTCTGAAATGGCCGTGTCCTGTATGAGTTCTTCGTAGGACCTTTATGCCTGCGGTGAGGACTTAATGATAAATAGGGACTTTAGACGAACCGGTGTCGGCGTCTCTGAGTTGAGCCTCACTGTTGTTGAGGTTTTTGTTGGGAGCGTTTCTTGATGCGAGTCTTCTCTGATAAGAGGTATTTGTGCGTGCACGGGTGTGTGTTCTTTGGAAATGACAGCATTTTCCTTTCCTCGGTGCTTTCAGTGGTTTAAGGGAAAGTTTAAAACCACCTGTTTGCAGAGTAGCTGCTTTTGCCACGTTTTGCCTCTGCTGTTAATTGGAAGAACTTTGTATTCCGTTTAGGGGGAGGCAGTTGCGTTTTCCCCAGACTCCATACATCAGTTTGAATAATCCATTTTAGTAACAACAGCCAGAGTATATTTTGTGGGCCTCTCCAGTGAATGCACTTGTAGCTTCTCTTGTGGGTAATTTACTTTTTCACATGGATGGATATGATGTATTTAACCCAGTATTAACCTGTGCGTGCAAAGGGTAAAAGAGACTTGATTTACGTTATAGTCCTTTTAGTCCTTACTACTTTGACCTAAGCAAATGCCTCTTTTCCCCACCAAGTCAATAATGGCAAAGTTCTCCGAGCATCCAGGCAGTACTGACTCCAGAAGTCAGAGTGTCAGTGGGCAGGTGGCCTTTGGCGTTTGAATTTCAGAAGGGGGTGTTATCTGCTTAACTGATGTCTTTCTCTGTGTCTCTTGCATTTGCCTTTGAAATCAGTTCTTAACCATATTACAGTAAAGAAAAGGATGCCTGTAAAACATGAGTGACTGGCTTAATGTCACACATGCGTTGTTTCAACCTAAACCATTTTAGAAGTCCAAGCCCTCACGCTCACCTGCATCTAACCTTCGTCAGCGCCATGGGGCTACTTGGTATCACTTGCAGCCTAGAATAGTGGTAGTCAGGGTTTTTCAGCATTTATGTGGTTCAGATATGCAACACACTTTAATCAGTAACAACTTCGATCGTACACAGTGCCTTTTCCCTCAGAGTAGTACCCATGATTCGTGAGCTAGACTGCCATGAAAGACTCTGAAATTAATCATTAAAATATCATGCAGTCATGAAAAATACCATAAGCTTAGAAGAACATGGTCAAGCATAGATGTTTCAGCTGGTCTTGCTGAATCACAGACGTTCGCTTTTGTGTGAAGACCCAGAATGAATTATGAAAACTCAGTTTTCCATCCACGTCGCATGCCTACACTGGATTTGCTTTTCTTGAACACGATTATTAAACCCCCTGTCCAGAGGTCGATCTGACAGTAACCACTGCCTTAGGCTCACAGACATGGAGCGGCAAGCAATCTTGAAAAAAACAGCATGGGCATGAAACAGAGGACAGGGTGGCTCGGTGAACAGGAGACGATCGGAAGGTGCTGGAGGTGCCGCCCACCGTACCTGTGATTTCACTCTCCCCAAAGCTGCTGACACAACCTCAGGTCTCAGTGAGGCAGCCAAGACACGGCTTTGTTTCTGAGGAAAAGGGGAGCCGAGGTAGAAGAAGCTGCCGTGTGTGCTCACTCCGTCGTTTCTAGCCTCGGTCCAGCGTCTCATCAGGCTTCCCGTGTTGGGAGCATGAGAAACAGCCAGAAGGTCGCCAGAACCCCAAACGGGAATGTTCTTGGGCGCCGCGTGGGTGCCTCCATACGTCACAGAGGCCAGGCAACAGAACCCACCTCATGTGCCCGAAAGTTGCCCTTGTAGTAATAGGAAAAATTGCACGGGAAGTCACGTTGCTCTTCCCCACACGTTTGGGTGTAGTTCCGAGCCCGGGGTCAGGCGCTGACCGCCTGGCGCTGAGGTCTCCTTCCGCCCACTGTCAGCCCCGCAACTGTAGGCCAGTTCCCTGGCTTCTCTCACTCAGATTTGCATGATCTGTCAAGTATGGAAAATGAGAGTAATTAGCTAATGCTGAAAATTAATGTGTTGTCAGGAGAAAGGACAAACATGTTAAAAAGTACAAATACAGAAAACTATCAGGAGAATCCATGCCAATGAAATAGTGTTCTAAAGCTCACCAACAGTAGCTGAATACAGGGTCTGGCAGAAGTAAGGCCTGCTTCAGTGTGGTTGGTAGGGTGATACTATGTGTGTAATAATTTATAGTTTTAATTTGAACATTTCACCTAAAATATATGGTGTGCTTGAGTGTGATATTGTTGTGTTACAGAATTCTAAAAAAGGGGCATTGTTTGGGCTGGACCCTGTATATTGTACTTCGAAGAGTCATTTGACTTTTGTGGGCTCACTGTTTGGATACAGGTGAATTTTGCCAAGGATGGCTTTGGAGTGCCAGTTCCTGGGGAGGTTTCGAGGAAGGCTGCAAAGATTTCTAGTCTGAGGCATCGATTACTTTCCCTGAGGCCAGCAGTACCTTCGCAGCATTGATTTAGTTTCAGTTGGTAACAGGTATGACATCAGCACATTGAAAAGCAAGTCAGGATGACTTGGGGAGAGTTTACTCTTGTTCAGTGTCTCGGTCCCCTCCCACTGATGTGGGTAGTTGGGGATAGGCGACAGAAGTGTAGCTAAAGACGAGTATGCTTTTCTCTCTTTGAATACCAGTAACTTTTGGTAAACATTTACAACTAAGCTAAGTGGCTACTTCCCCCTCTACTGCTTCCACAGTGACAAGTCAAGTTCCATCCTTGACCTACTAGTTAATGAGTAGTAAGGGGTTATAAACTCATATCAAATTTACCCTGAGTATGAAGGGATTTCAGCCCATTGTCCACAAAATCACGATGCACTTTGAGTCAGATAAAAACAGTTCCGAATGACTTATCCCATGGATTACATTCATTGGAGAAGATCATTGAGAATTTTCTGTGTTTATTAATTAAGAAAATAAGATAAAACGATAGATTTGAAAAATGGGGCTATAATGGAAACAACTTGGAGAAAGTAAATTTTAAGGAGCATTTTGACAAAAGAAAAGATGTGAGTTACAAACTGGTAGAGAAGGCAAAAAATTATTCCCGAATACTGTTAAGCACGACTGCTCTTTCACCCTGGGGCAGAGGGGGGTCACGGGTCCAAAGGCGGGGCGAGGAGCCGGGCGCGGCGAGGCCCTGTGTCCCAACAACATTGGCTTTAGCTCACATGGTTTTGGCTCCATGTACCAGTAACAGTCCTTCCTTGTTTTGTTTTGTTTTCTTTTCTCCTCTTCTCTTTCTTCCGGGCTAGGTACTGCAGATCTATGGATATGCTGTCTTGACTTGCTAAGGCTTTAATTTTTTTTTTTTAATTTTTAAAGTTTAAATCTGTATTGTGAATTTGAGTTGTCCTCCCACCTTTAAGCTGCCCTGGGGACCATACTTAAGTTTTACTTGCAAGTATTTCTCCTTCCTAAGGAACGTAGCTGGGCAGTGGAAATATGCCCGACTATGAGATTTGGAGAGTTTGTTTATTCCAGTAATATCCTTGTAGTCTTAAGGGATGTGTGTGTGTGTGTGTACACATGTGCATACATATGTATATTTCAATACAGTTAAAAAATTCTACCTCCTACACATGAATTCAGATGACTTGTTTCAGTAGTTTAATTAAAACTGTGAGATTAATGACTAATGATGAATCTATCACTAGGGAGAGTTTTAGTTTGGATCTGCTTAATCTTAATCATAGCAGGTAGTGTTGACTGATTGTTTAATTGTAAAAATGTGCTAGAATTCAATAGCTGCCTTGCTTACATTCCAGAAGGAAATCCAGCATTTACAGTAAGGAATCAATAAAAAATTCCAAGGAGCTCTAGAGTCAAAATGCTGAGATGATTGCATGATCTTTAGGCAATGATATCTTTTTAAAAAAACTATTTGAATACAGCATTTTTACTGAGAACAACACAAAAACTGAGAACTAGATGCTTTAGTAAAGGTAAACATGTCTGGTCCCTGTGGGAGAATTCTAACAATTAGCATAATCTTAAATTGAAAACGAGAAACACTGAAAGTGAAGACTGTGAGACTGAAAAAAATTAAGCAATCAAATAATAATGAAATAAGAAAATAAAGAGAGTAGATAGGGACTAGGCATTCATGCACGTGCAGAGGAGGAGACTGGAAAGCAGGATTGGCCAGTTCATTGTTCTGCTTCTTGGCTGCATTGACATGGCAACCAATATGGGCCAAGGCCCTTTAGTCCTTGACACTATAAGGGAAATTCTGTGTCATCTATACCCCGCCTTCATTCAAAAATACTTAATGAGGCATTCTAAGATTACAAAGTTATCTATAATCAGGATTTTGATGTTCAAATGTAACATGTTTACCTTCTGTACTTCATTTGCTCTTAATCCTGGGTCAAGACA